AGCTGAACAATAGGTTTAAATGATACATTTGGTTCATATTCAGAATCGTCACCACCACCACCTTCACCATCATCATCTTCATGATTATTTCCTGTTGTAGTTATATTTGTTGCACCTGTACCAAATACAAGTGAACCTTGTCCAGCAAATACTATCAAAAGAAAACTTAGAATATTAAATAAATATTAAATAAAAATTTCTTACCTCGTTGTTCAGTACCATTACTTGTTGGTTTATCTTCATTTGTTGGTGTTTGTTTAGCTAATTCAGAGAAACTAAATTTAGGTGAATTACCAAAAAGTGGTTTATTTGTTGATCCAAATGAAAATGTTGAATTAGTATTTGCTGTAGATGTTGCTGCAGTTGATCCAAATGAAAATGTTGGATTTGTATCTGTTGTTGTTGTTGTTGTTGTTGTTGTTGTAGCTGCAGTTGTGGCTGTAGCATTTGCAGTTGGTGTAGAAAATTGAAATCCATTTGAAGGTGTTGTTGCTGCTGCACCACTACCACCACCAAAACCAGGAAATGAAAATCCACTAGCAGCATTAGTTGATGGTTTTGATGATGTATTACCACCAAATATTGAACCATTCGTATTATTTAATGGTGTTGAACTTCCAAAAATTGATGAACTACCATTAAAACTTCCAAAAATAGATGGTTTATTATCATATTGTGATGCTGTATTTGAATTTGAAGATGATGGTGATTCAACAGATGTTTTATCATCTTTAGTTGTTGATGTTTGTTTTTGTATTTGTGATTTATCAGCATTTCCAAATGAAAATTTTATATTTTCACTTGAACTCAATGGAGTTTTTGATGCTGATACTGGTGCGGTCGATGGTGTTTGAGGACCTACGAAAATGATATATAACTAATAATAAAATATTACCAAAACTATTAATTTACCTGTAGTTTTTGTGTCGGTTTTAGTTGCATTTGTTGTTGCTGTTTTATCTAAATCAATAAGATAACATTTAGAAAGTCAAAAAAGTATGATTCAGATTTGTGATTAAAAGATAAAAATAGTTCAAACGTTTACTATAGATAAATATCAAAAGAAAATAAATACGTACTGTCATTTGGTGCAACTGGTAGCGTATCTTCTTTACAGCCTGGACAACCTTTACATGGTTCTTTGTTTTCATATAGAAAGAATGTTGATGGTAATTGAAGTTTCTTTGCTCGATCGATTTGTTCTGCTGATGGTTTCACTTCACCAATAGAAATAACATCTAAACATACGCAAATAATATATTATAGAAAAATTAATAAATAATCAATTTTACCATCATCATTTGCGGCGGTTGTTTTTGTTTTTGTTTCATCAGTTAATGAAATTTTTCCAACTGATGATAAATCATCTGATTTCTTTAAATTCGTGTCTTTGGCTTCATTAAATACCTTAGCAAAATTTTTAGCCTGTTCATCAGTTTTAAATCTTATACATAATGTTTCATGTTTAGCTTCACCATCAGCAAAATCCATTGCTGACCATAAATAAGCATTAGTTGAACCTTGATGTGGTTTTAATTCCATTTGTGATGTTATCTGATGATTTGCACATAATTTCAATACTTGTTCACGACGCATTAATATTCGACACACTTTTGTTGTTTTAT